GCCCCGGGCCCCCGCCACAGGCTGCGCAGCTGGGAGCAGGAGGAGGCTCCCAGTAGAACAGAACAGAATCTCCCCCCCCAGCCAGCACGGGCCAGTCCTCCAGGCCTTTCACCCCAGCAGATCCCTTCCAAGAACTGACCTGCTGGTGCCCCAGAGCCGGGGGAGGGAGAATGGGCTGGGCAGCTCCAGGAGCCGCACCCCCTTACCGGGTTCCCAGGAGGCCGTGGTAATAGGAGAAGTACACCAGGGAGTTGTCATTGATCTCGTAGGAGGAGAGGCCGTTTCCCACGGCGAGGCCCTAGAGCACACGAGCAGTTAGAGCCACAGGCGGTGGAGCAGCAGCAAGGCAGGAACTGGGTGCTGGGGGTGGGGGGGAGGGGGCGCTGACCTGGACACTGCCCCACCCCACTGGAGATGGGCCGCTCGGAGCACAGCTCAGCACTCCCCCGCCGCGACCTGGCCTGATGCAAAGCCACAGGAGAGACCCAGCCTGGGGCACACTCGCCCCTCTGCTCCTCCCCGCCTAGTGCGAGAACTGGCCCCTGCCACCGTGTGCCGCACCAGGAGGAACCGGGGGGCTCGGAGTCACATGACTGCCCCTCCACCCCATGCTCCAGGGACGCCCTGCACCTTCAAGTTGATGCTGGCGTCCTGCATCACCCACTCGGCCAGCGTGGGGATATAGATGCCGGCGTAGCTCTCGCCGGTGAGGAACAGCGAGTTCTGGCCGTACTCGGGGAAGAGGCGGAGGAATTCCTTCAGCGCCAGGTAGTTATTGTGGGCCACCTGCAATCAGACAGCAGGCTGAGGCAGGCTCCCCACAGGCCCCCCGCTCCGGGACCAGCTCCTTGCTGCAGGAGATGGGCAGCGGCCCCAGAATCTCACTCACCTCAGTGTCGTTGGTGGCATAGTTTTTGTCATCCGAGTAGGAGAAGCCAACCCCCGCTGGGGACTCCAGGTACAGCATGTTCGCAATCTGCAGAGACAGCCAGTCACTGGGGAGACCGGGCGAGAGCCGAGACCCTCCGCCCAGCGCCATGGGACCAGAGCTGCCTGTAGCACCTGCTAACAGGCTCAGGTGGAAACCTCGCACCGCAACGCCTGGCACCGCAGCTCTGGGTCCTAGTCCAGACACAGCCGGGGAGCCAAGAGGGCAGAAGTAAGGGAGAAACCTGCCAGAGGCGCCATCTTGGTGGGAGAAATGAAGGCAGGACTTTGCCCCCGTCTCACCCACATGCACAGGGCCCAGCACCCTCCCTGACCTGGACCCTGGCACAGCTGTTGCAAGGTCCACAGGACCCGCCGTCCCACTCCAGGAGTGGGGGTGAGCGAGACAGTCTGGGGGGAGGGCACATACCTTGTTCCAGGAATAGTCATTGTACTGCAGGGTGGTCCCATCTGGCTGGATCTGAGAAAGGAGAAGCCGGTTACCAGGCCAGAAGAGCCGGTGCTGGCGGCCTGGCCTCCTCCGGGGCAGTGGCAACGGCCCTGACAGTGCTCAGGTGGCGAGACCTCGCCAGGGTCAGGAGGGAAGGCACGGCCCTGTCACTGCCAGCCCATGCAGGGACCTAGCGCCCAGCACGCCGGGGCACAGGCCCGCACGGGGAGACGCCGGGTCGCCCCGGCCAAGGAGAGGGGTTGCGGTTACTGACCGTGAAGGGGCCGTGCTCGGTCAATAAGCCAGTCATGGAGCTGCAGCCAGGTCCCCCGTTCAGCCACAGCACCAGAGGGCTGCTCTCAGGGTTGCTCTGAGCCTCCACGAACCTGCAGACCAGCGACACTCAGATCTCCAGAGCCAAACTAGCCATCGCCATTACCCAGAAGTCACCATCATCGCCCGTTACACCCACTGGCGTATGGAGCAGCAACATTGCTGTTTCCGTACCAAAAGGCTTTTTCTGGGTCAGGGTTGTTAGCCCCGAGCCAGACCCCCGATCCCGGAGGGCCGGTGTGCATGCTGAGTCTGGCTCCTCCCCCCTGACCATGCCAGCTTGGCTGAACCTACCTACTGGCACAGCCCCTGGGATCATAGGAACACACAAGCGGCTTCCCCCCTCCCTGCCCACAAGGTGCAAGCACAAGGGGCAGACCCAGAAGTCAGAGTAGGGGAAACGCTTCGCCTCGCTGGCTACAGCGCAAGCAACTGTAGCATGGGATACGCGGTGTATGGCTCTTATGCGCCCTGACCGTCACCTATTATTTATCAGCTGCTAGGGACGTTAGTCAGCGGATAATTGACTAGTTGAGTAAGGGCAGGAAGCCCTAGCGGTTACAAACTACTCTATAGTCCCTGGGGGCAGGGCTGGCAGTCAGTGCAATCCGGCACCACTCGAGGACCCTGCTGCCCCGCGCGGCTACCGCTGTACAAGGCAGGAGCCAGTCCGCAGCAGCGGTCCAGTGTGATAGAGGCAGCAGCGTGGGGAGGGAAGCAGCTGGCACCGCAGAGCCGCTGCTGAGGGGGAACCAGCTTTTAAACCGACCCCCTCCAGCATCTGCTCGTACTTCCCCCTCCCCCTTGCTGCCCGATAGAGGCAGCGGAGGGTGGGGGGAGGAGAAGCGGGCGAAAGCGAGTATTGGAAAGATACACAGAGAAGCTCAGGCTCATTGCTTAACTGTCTAGCCAATAGTCATTTACATCCCCATCAACAGCTGCCTAACAACCAGGGGAAGCAGCTACCACACACCAAGCTCTGCCCACGCTCCACTGCTTCCTGACCTCCTCCTGCTTCCTGCTTTGCCTCTGCCCCCCCCAGTGGGGAGGCTCTAGCAGGAAATAGGGGAAGGGCAGGGCCTGGTAAAAGCAGCCTGATTGGTTAATCATGAAATCACAGTGTTTTCAAGTCACCTGCAGGAAAGAGCCACAGGGGACACTTAGCTCCCCCCTCCCCTTTCCGATCTGCGGTGGCCTCTGCCTGCTGTGGGCAGGGTAGCAATGGAGTCTCTGCTCACCCCCACCCCACGCCTGCCGAGCCCCACACGTACCAGTAGTGCAGGTGTTTGTTTTGGCCGACGTGCAGGTACCCCGAGTACTGCCGGAAGGAGGGCTGCTTGGCCAGCCCCGGCAGGTAGGTCACCTCGTCGGCGGAGGGAGCAGCCTTGACAAGGGAGGCTGCCAGGAGCAGCGCGCAGAGCAGGATGGAGCCCAGCTGTGGGAGAGACCAGAGTCAGGGCCCTCAGGGGGGCCGCAGCCCTCTCCCCTCCTGCCCAGAACTGGCTCCCCCCAGAGCACCCCAGGCTCCTTCCCTGGCCCCCAAACCACCCCCCAGAACTGGCTCCTTCCCC